GGAACTCAAAGCCTAAGTTGTCATTGAATGTTGTCTCAAGTTCGTGGAGCAGGTTTGCAGCCTGTAAAGTGATTTTCAGAAGTTGGCCGCGTGGTTGTCATGGTTCCCAGCAGCATGGGCTGGCACAATTTGTTTCTACGTCGTGCCAGGCGGAGGACAGCGACGAAAAGGACACTGTACCATTGCTTTGGAAACCCTAAGACTTTGGGGCGCAAGGTAACCCTCTAAAGGCACAAGCATGTACTTAATTGTTGGACAGGAATGCTATGTATAGAGCGAAGCAGAATTTGTGCAATACAATCGGCAAGGAGGGATCCCAGATGTCCAAGATGGAGGAATACAGAGCTTCAATATTGAGGTTGCTGTTTACCGTGCAGGCGCGATTATGTGAAGCCGACGAAGCCAAAATACCTGCAAGCCGGCTTTCTAAACACCCCCGCTATCTCTACACCCCAAATCCTGAGAATCTAAATGGTAGTTTCCCTGCAGAGGGACCCCCAGACTTCCCTAGCAAAGCCTCCTTGGATCACTAGACAGCAAGACGGGGCGCCAAATAAATGCCAACATTAGGCTTCTAGATTCCTTGTATACGTATGGTATAAAGTACCTCAAAGAGACCTCACGATAATATCGGGCTTCTACATGGCATAATCCTTGAACCCTGCTATATAAAACTAGTTTACTTTTCATTTTCTCCAGTATGGTACCCTGAGCCCTAAACTCTGTCCAAAACTCTGTGTGACCCTAACACTGACCTGGCGTTGCAAGTCCTAAGCTCCACAGGAGGACGCGTGCCCTGAAGAGAAGCAGGGCTTGCTCGGAGGCTGCAGAAAAAACCTTAAACTGATTGTTAATACTGACCTTTAGAGTAATATTATTAGCCATGATGATAGCCATAGCAAGACTAGTCATAAAGACTATATTTGAGCTTCTAAGGTTGCTGTTAAGGACATTGTTTAAACTTCCTTTAATAGCGTAACCCCATTAAACCTACTATCTACCCATAATACCGTAATGTAGACTAATATATTTCCTTAACAGCAACCCAGTTGAGTTGGGGGTTTGGGGTTTAGGGTTCAAGGATGAAAAGGGTTTTCTCCGAGGGACATCTGGGAGACCCAGGGCCGACTACCATGTGCGTTTCAGTAACGATTAAGGTTTGGGGTCCAGTCCAGGCTTTAGGTATTTGGTTTAGGTACAGGGTTTAGGTTTAGGCAGGGTTTAGGGTTCAGGTATCAGGGTTTAGGGTTCAGGGTTTAAGGTTTGATTGATGGCTGACGCCAGGCTTCTTCACAGGGACTGCGAGCTGTACATCCCGGTGCAGCTCATGAATCATCACTATGTAAATTCAAGACTCTAGATGCACAGAAAATCGAAATCTCGACCAAACCAACTCTAAGCTGCCTATAGTCCCCCTTAAGTAGGTAGAATATGGGCTATATGGGGATCTTATTCTAATATTCCCATAGCCATATTCTATCTACTTAAGGGGGGCCCTAAACCCTAAACCCTACATAGTAGTTTCCATTTTCTTTTTCCATTATCGCAATATAACCCCTATATATAGCCTATATAACCCCTAAATAATCCCTATAATCCCTGAAGCTGTTGCAGAGCTGTGGCAGGAAGCTGCTGTGTTCATGGTTTCTGGCTTGTCAGGTGGTCAGCCTTTCAGTTTAAGCTTCCTTGTATGGTTTAGGGGTTTAGGGTTTAAGGTTTAGGGTTTAGGACTTAAGGTTTAGGGTTTAGGGGTTTAAGGTTTAGGGGTTTAGGGTTTAGGGTTTATGCTTCCAACCCCTCCGTGGGAACTTTCAAAATGCAACCTACAGAGTGCTTCGTAGTAAGGACCCCCCACAGTCTGTTTGCAATCCTAAGGACCGCACAATTTTGAAAACCCCCAATACCTAAACGTGCCCAAAAACCAACCTCCCAAATCGAAGCCCCACGCCTGCACCCCTAGTGCGTAATCATTAGACGCCGCAAGCATAAGCCCAAAAAGTATAGAAATGGAAGTATGGAAAGGTGTACAGTCTGTATAACACCTTACATAATCCTCGAAAGCCCCCCTAAACTGCCCTTAGACAATCCGTATAATACCCTACAAAAGCCTTTAAAGCCCCCTAGAATCTGCCTACATAAACACCTGTGTCACTGGTAACTTGCAAACAGTGCTTGTGTCAGGCCCCTTGGATGATGATGACGATGAGGCACCGCTGGCAGCTAATCCCAACAGCCTTAAAATCAGATGCCTCAAAAGGTGAGGTCAAGGAAGGTGGGGTTTCGTAATTGGGGGTCAGAGTTTAAGGTTTACGGGCTTAGGGGTATAACCCTATTATACTATAGTAGTTTCCATTTTATTTTCCATTCTCCCAATATAACCCCTACATAATTGGGAAACAAGCCCAAGAGAATGGAGTCTACAATAGGGATCCTGTAGCTCACCTAGCTTCATCCCAACTGTTGAGCCCTCTGATTAGAAAAACTAAGCCCTAAAACGTAATCTCCTGAACCTAAACCCGAAGCCCTAAATAGTAGATTCCACTTTCAGCATTTCCAATAACGTTTCTAGAGCTATCCTGGAAATCATGTTTTATCCACACCGCTTATTACCACCCTCCGACCCCCGCAACAATGAATACCCCCCCAGTAATGTACCATTATGGCATGGGAGAAGCATTTACTATTTGGGGGATAGGGAGGTTCAATATTAGGGCAGAGACTTACAAAACCTTCAGCTTTAAGGGACGAAACCCTTCGCGAGCTTCTAACCTGAGACCCAGAGCCTACGGGAGCTACAGTCTAAACTCCTTTTATAAAGGGGGGTATATAAGGGATTACATAGGGCACTGCTATAGGGTTATGACGGAGAAGCTTGGAGTTTAGATTATGGCTCATTTTGGGTTGAGCCATCCTAGAGAAATCTACGTACACATAAGCAAGAGCCTTGTTCCTAAGGCCTTGATATTTCTACCTTTTTCAGCCGCCGTGGATAGGGGCATTTTGGCAATTAGCGTTGCCAAAGTTCCATTGCAATTGGAACCCCAGAGCTTGAAGCCTTCGAAGGTACAAACGGATCTGCCCGGGTATGCCTCGCCGCTGGCAGATGGTGATGAGGTCTGGGGCCCACATTACATACGGGCTTGAGAGGCAATGAATTTGCAGGGTCCAGTTGTTCAAGGCCTGTGGCTTGATTTAAGGGCTTGAGGCAGACTATGATGTTTTCTGTGACAGAGTTACGTGTCATAAGACCTAAGCCATGCACCTAAACCCTAAACCCTCAATTCCTAACACCCTAAACCCTTAACCCCTGAACCTTTAAGGACATCCTCATGCCTAATCCTGGGCTTGCTCTTTATTCTTGCTGGCAGTCCTCTCCTGGACCATGCCACACAGATTGTGTTTTTGTATATGAGCTACAGTTTCCGCGTCATTTTCCATGTTCTTTTCCATGTTATTCTCCATTATTGGGGTTATATATCCCTAAACCCTAAACCCGAACAAAGCAGGATCTAATCCCTGTATAGCCCTATATAACCTCAATATAAAAGGCTGAGCCTTTGATTGCCCAGCAGAACTAGGTTAGGGTTTGGGGATTTAGGCTTTAGAGTTCAGGGTTTGAGGTTTATTAGAGAGCCTTCAAGCTTATTCGTCCTCTTTCCATGTCAGAACTATCCCTGATTCTTTGAATGCATGGTTCACGGTAGGCAGCTTCATTACTAGCACTGTCCGCAAGTCACAAGCCTCTCAAGGGCGCCTGAGAACCCCAGACCCATCTCAGGGTCGCACAGCCATGTCCGACCGCTCATTCTCTCACATTCGGTTTCTTGGACTCACATTATGGGACCCCAGAAAACACCGGTGAATTTAGAAGCGCTCTAAGCACCACGAAAACAGCCAATTAGGGTTAGAAAGCTACCACAAGAGAGGAGTCCGTGGGGGCGTTGATAAAACTTCGACCCTCTGCAGCAGACTCCGTCGGCCTGCATCTCAGGTCGTCTCGAATCAGGGGTGATGTAGGGGTTACATCAGGGGTTATATAAGGGTATACAGGCTTGAGGCTCAGGGGGGTGATTCAGGGCTTGATTTGGAAGATGCAGTGAAACGTCGAAAAGGTGTGTCCAGGGGACAGGGCGTGCATTCGCCTTTCTTGCACAGAAAGTCAGGAAGTACCAGTGAAGTTTTCACCCCGAAGATGATATTCAACCACAAGCTGCATATCAGGGGTATGGGTTTTTGTTTTGGGGGAGGGGGCTATAAAGGGTAGGGAGAAGCATCTCTTGAACAAGGTTCTGTCAGGCTGCACGGCTCGAAATGGCAGTTTAGACGGGGGTGCTCAGCCACATTGGTTTAGACCTGTCGGGGTTTGAACTCGGGGTCCTTTATTCTAGGTCATGTCACAAGGAACTCCATATTCGGGGTAAACCTTCAGCATGTTTCAACCGAGGAGGTTTGACGATGGGTCCTTGAGTGCTTTTGAGTCCCTACAGGCTTCGAATCCCATACGAGATGCCCCAGGTATGGCGTTCCATGCACTTCGGCGAAAAACTCTCCTCGCAATTTTAGGAGTTGAGAGGGACCCTGATTGGGTGGGCAAGTGTAGAAGCCTGACTAACATTATCGCCTTGGGGTTGACATGTACTGCCGCTTAATTACAACAGATTTTACAAAACGAGAGCCCTGAACTACCGGGATCCGTATGTCACAGTGCTTCTTCTATGCTATTGCGAACAATGCATGGCCTTGGCTGCCATCGCCATGGTCATACCTTAAGTTGGCCTAGATTCTTAGCCCAAAAGTGACTCGGGAGCTCATCCTACTTGCCATGGGGCCTGCTGGTGCAGCCGCTCCGCATTGATGTTGTTGATTAGGCTCAGGGTCACCTGCGATCAGACAACTCGCCATCTCGAGAGCTCACAGCAGCAAACGCAGGTACCTGCGTCAGGGTTCTTGCAGCACTTGCCCTCCATTTGATACGGTAAGTCAGGCGAGCCGCAGGTGCCATGGGCTGGGGCAAGGGCAAGGGCCACCGGGCTGCGGTTGCAGCGGTGGAAGGCGCCCTGGTAGGAGGCGCCGTGGTGGCCGGCGCGGCTGCGGCCCCTTGGCCTTGGTTCAGCACCATGTGAGCTATAGTCTAAGCTCCTTCAAGGACGGGTCTATAAGGGAGTATATAGGGGATTACTATAGGGGCTATTAAGGGGGTTATATAAGGGATTATATAGTGGACTACTATAGGGGCTATTTAGGGGGATGCTAGGAGTTTAGACTATAGCTCATGTAGGCTCTCTGCCTCAACGCTACGAACCCGGCGATTTCAGGATTCTGAGGTCTGGTCGTTCCCTGAGATCTAGGTAGGGTTGAGGGTTTACGGCCGTAACATGGGAGCTTGTCAAAGGAGATGCTTCATTTGGGGCGCCGGAAATCATCTGTTGCATGGGGGATAAGAAGATGTGTTCATTGCAGTGAGAATGCAGTGACAGGTTCCACAAACTCTCCATACCTAATCTCTATGAAACAGCAAGAGCCCTTTTAGCTGATAAGGACCCCCCACGCACCAATAGTGATCATAAGGGATGCCATTTCATATTGGGACCCCTACCCTGATGTATGTATATATATATATGTATGGTGCCCTCCCCCATGAACCTACCTTTTTTCCGTGTTTCCAAAGGTATCTGGACTACATTAACCACCTACTAGGATTTGGTTTTGCTTTTACTCTAAGATATTATGCTTGTATCAGGGCCAATGCAGTTTCTAAGAGATTTATTATATATCATGATAGCCCAACTCTATTTCTCTGATGGCGTGGAGTGTCTGATCACAAAACCAGAGAAAACTCAAACTATATGAAAAATCAAAATATGCATATACACATATACACGCGCGTGTGTGTATCCATCTATCTGTCTATGTATATATATATGGTGAACCTTCCATGGATCCACCATTTTTGGTGCCAGTGCCGGTCAGTCACCTATCTGTGCTAAGGTGTTGGCCTCCAGAACCCCGCGACGCACTAGGTTCGTCTCAGAACTTCTGCTGTCCCCTGAAAGGTCACAACAATTTGTCCTCAAAACGCAAATCTGTACCAATGCAACGGTTACAAATTTGCAAGAACGCTTCACTGCCCCAATAAAAAAAAATACCATATATACATATATACAAAGATATATATATATATACACATATTTACATACATCAGTATGGTGGCTCCTGTAGTTCCCATAAATGGGGCAACCCCAACATAGACCCCTAACACCTATCATTAGTCTGGAGTGTAGGGTTTGCGGTTTCCTGCTTGATTAGGTTTCGGGCTTAGGATTAAGGTTTTCAAGGTTGGTCGCCTCCTGGAAAAGCCTTAAACGCTAACTCAGTCCTTAGCCCTGTGACCGAACCCCCTAAATCCACCGAAAGCTTATTCATAGGTTGCCACGGTGGCTTCCAGGCCCCGTCCCGCTCCACGGACCGAGGCCACGTTCTGAATCATTTGTAGGTTTCAAAGGGTGCATATCGTGGGGTCCCTGTCAAGCGGTTTCCTAGGGGAGATATACTTGAGAGTTGCTGAAATTGGAGGTCCATTTCTGGAAGTCCACACAGCGAGGATTGACCAGGATGATAGTATGCTAGGGTCTATATTGAGGCCATCTATTCATGGCAACTGCTGCTGCTGCTACTACTACTCCCAGTACTACTGCTCCTCCTCCCGCTGCTGCTGCTGCTGCTGCTGCTACGACGACTACACTATCACTACCATTGCTACTATCAATAATATCACTACCATCATCACAATCATTTTGACTTGTCCTACTTCTGGTGCTGTTACCATCACTATGACGACCCCTTTCTTTAGTTTCATGTCTATTGATACTATTACTTAGTACCACGCCTGCCTATCTAGTCTCATATTGTGATGATCATCATCCTTATGAGTGGCAGGTCGTGGTGGTGCAAGGCGCGGCTGTACCGGCTTCACCAGCCCCCACAGTGGTGGTTGCGAGCCACGGCAAAGGCAAAGCCAAGGGCAAAGGCCAGGGCCACCAAACGAAGCGCATAGTTGCAACAGGGCCTTGAGGTATGTCCAAAGGCACTGAGTGGCTAGAATTGCGAATAATCTTCCAAGCTATGAAGGTCAGCTCCCCGAAATACCTCTCTTCTTCCTGGTGCCCCAGAGGCAGCAGAAAAATGGCGCCAGCAATAGTCCTTACATGATCCCGTATCATAGTCCTTACCAACAGGGTCTCTCCCACTACCCCTTAAGCACCAATAAGTAGGAAGTGGGCGAATGTGTTTTTACTGAATAGGCCACAGGCTGAAGATTGAGCGGCCAATACAATCCAATATATAGCAGCTGTTTACTCAGATCGGGTCTTGAAGGCAACCGCAACTGACCGAAAAGGGAGCAAAGTCGCTCCAGGTAAGGGCAAGGGCAAGTGGAAGGGCGTCGCTGTCACTAGCATCCCGCCCCTGTCCATCTCGGCTATCGGCATCCCGGCGAGCGGCATCGAAAGTCAGGACTGAGTTTGAACGCGAGTTTGAAATACAAGGTTTTCGGGATGCTGCTGTTGTGTTTTACAGGGCTCGGTAGATCTGCCGGAGAGTTCTCCTACAGCACCATAGAGGATAGGGAAGCTGTAGTAAACCAAATCAAGCTTCCAAAAGCCAGTCCTAGAAAGCCCCACCCCGGTCAGCCTCGAGCCACAAGCTGCTTGGCTCAGGGCGACGTGACATATTTTACTATCGACGTTCTGGCTGAGGGGTCAGCTACCACTTACCAGGTCCGCAGGAGCCGAGAAGTGGCTTGTTGCTTTAAAGCCCAGCTTAAATCTACATGAGGGAACGGTGATGTATGAGTTTGTGAACTTGCAATTTTGTCTCGAAAGCATAGCAGGAGGGTTTCCATTTTAAGTGTTGGGGTCCAGTTGTTCAGGAGGTGACCAACTTTTGTGCATTTTCGCGAAGCATCCGGGCCAGCCTCGTGGATCCTATCAGGTTTGGCCGTGACAGGGTTTGAGTTTCTGAGCGCTTTTGAAGTTGCAAGACCTCATGAAGACTGAGGGGTTGAACCTTGTTTCGGGACCACCGACAGGTGCCTCAGAAGAAATATGGCCAAACAGTGAGTGACCTTAGGAAGGGTAGGAAGGAAGTTTAGCTCCCAAGACAAGTCCCTCTTCTTTGAATGGCAGGAGATACCGCGAATTCGCTGCCCTTCTGGACAATCTGCAGCGCTCCGCGCCTGGATCCTTGAACATCAGCGCCTCTGTCGATCATGGTTATCCTCAGCCGGGTTGTACGGAACAGTTTTGACTCACGCCTGCGGGGCTGATGGTCGAGAAGCTTGGGCATTCGCATTTGGGTTGGCGGCACAGGGTTCGCGGCATGTTCGCCTTGGAGTTTCGAGCGCCGCAAAAGCCATCACATAGGCAAAGGCAGCACAATTTGAAGACGCATCTGGCCGTGATTAGGCATGCAGGCATTTTGTCGAATTGTGTTTGGGTTTTCTGGCTGGCTTAACAATTAAGTTCCCACAGCCATCAAAAGCATAGTGCTCCTCTGCAAAGCGTGGTCGACACCAGGTGGACAACCAGCCCTCGTGCACGCCACGCCTAGATTTGAGGGATCGAAGGGATGTGGTTTGTATCTTCAGCGTCCGCCAAAGGGCGTGCTTTGCTGATTGATATGGCGTCTGTAGAGCTCGAGGAGTGCATTGAAACAGCAAAGGTGCGTCCATGATAGACTGAACTTCTGGGTCTTGCAAAGGGTGGCGTTGCTACCTCCACACGTGACTTGGTGCTTTCTTCAAGCTATCTTTCTGGAGCTGCCCCAATTGGACGGCTTGAATTTTACAGTCTTAAAGTAATTGCGCACCTCGTAAAGTCCTAACGTCCTGAGCCCTCGGCAGTTTGCATCTTCAGGTGACTTCCCCCCAAAGTACCGCTTCTTTGCCTGCACCGGCGAGCGACTGGAGGCATGTTGAATGACTGTCTACTACAGTACTCATCGTCGTTGTTGTCGCAGCAGCGGTGGTAGTGGTACTTGTAATGCTCGTGGTCGTCGTGGTTTAGAGGATAATGTTGGTCTTTGTCGTCGTCGCTGCACTAGCTGTAGTCGTAGTAGCATCGGTATTGTTGCTGTTCTTCTTATTAGTATAGTAAGCGCCCCTCTTCCCCAGGGGTTACGTTGATATAAACGTTCATGTATGTGAAGATGGGTTAGGATTAGGCTGGGGTGGGCGGGGGGGGGGGGGGGGGGGAAGTTACGTGCGAG